GCATTATTTTGATGGATATGTTAAATTAAAATGAAATAATTGAGACAATACAACAAATAATAATTTGACAACTACAATATCTCATCAATGAAAACTATCTGTCTTACTTGTGTAAAACTCTATGCATGACATTATTCTCTGTAGGTGACAAATGAATTAGTGAGCTCCTTGAACATCATCCACATAAAATTTTTAATTTGTTTCAAATGTCGAAAAAAAAAATTCTGTGATCTGATGAATTGTATCCCATGCAACTAGGATTCTTAAAGTCATTTCTCGATATGAAGTATTATATTCCTGATTTTGAACGCAACAACCAATTGATTTGAGGTAGGAACTGATTATTTAATAAGAAACATTCATCATTATAACATGTAATTTTAAATCCAGACCTTCATCTCAACACGATGAGCATATGCCGACATATTCCTTCTAAAAGCAACTAAAAATAGTTGCAACAATGACAACTTTACATTTTTTTATATCCAGACCTTCATCTCAACACGATGAGGTCCTATGTACATGCATGTTAAAGCATTTAAACAATTTACAAGATAGTCAATGCTACACCTGATATGGAGGGTGTTCCGGAGATGATTCAATTGAGGGAACAGATCACAGATGTTTTATCGAATGCACCAACTAATTGTAACTGCTCAATTGAGGGAACAAATTCAGTAGGTTTTTGTAACATATAATTTTGGAGTGTCTTTTGAGATGAATTCCAATTTTTACTGAGATGGATAAAATATGTTGTTTGATGTATATAAAAGGCAAGGTATTATTTTGTGGATAGTAAGAATCTTTCTTTCCATGATTTGAGCTCTACATATTTTAATGTTAGAACATTACAATTGATCACGTGCAATGGCTGTAAAGAAACTGTAATAGTTATATTGTGATGATCTTTTCTTTATTTTATTTAATTGACTATTTACTTAACAGCGGTTATATTTCCAATTCAGTTTTCATCCAACTGGATGAGTGCTTTGAGTAGAATTCTATTCACATTTTATATGTCGATAGGGTTGTGTAATAAATGCTTTCATGTGTAATGAGCATGATATTTCTTTTGAAACAACATTAATCATGTCTACCTCTTTTATTTTGAACCTCATCCTGATACTTGAGTGGAGATTATTCTTACAAATAATGTGTTAATGAGATTACTATTTATATTCCATGTGAGTGATGACATAGAAGTGTTTGTTGTGGAGGCAACTGTTGGTATGCTTTTTGAATTTTTTTTTTTTCATTGTTGTGAACATGATGGGTTTCTTACCACCTGGATGGCTTTCTGGGCAACTGTGGTTTTTCTCTTGGGCAAGTTCTTGTTTTTTAGAGGTCTATGATGAGTAATATGACCCAATGGGTTCTTCTGGATTGCCTTACTAAAACTATGCTTTACGATATATGCAATTTTGGTATTAAGGGCTTTTAGGCAACCAGGATCCCTTTCTTTATGGGTCCGCTGTCTTCTTATGATGGTATCTTGTTCTTCTCTTTCCATTATCTCTTAGCCAATTTTGATTTCGGAAAAATCCCATTATATCAATTTTACATTTAATTTTTTTTCTTTTAGTTTCTCATTTTAACATCAGTCTAAGTTTAAACTATGCATTATCAGAAAATATGTGTTAAAGAAATTCAATTGGCTTTGAATTGTGTATTGCAACTATGGCATGCAATTGTATACACATTTTGACGAGAAGCTAGCTATGAAAAGTGATTTTATAGTGTCCCGGGAGCAGACTGCTTGATGATTATGACTTCTTTAGATAGGCTCAATATTGTGAGGAGTCCACTTCAGATAGCAGAAATGTGTCGTGAGTAGCTTAGGAAAGAAAATTCTTCACGAGACATGATGGTTTGGTAAAAAATGCGAGTGTGATCGGCATCGTGAGATAACTAAATAAATATATATCGACAGTCAAGTAAACCAATATTCCAATAGCCCAACAACTTCATAGTATTAAAATCTTTCCGAATGATCTCAAGTTTTGGGTGACCATAAAGAAATTTTTTCACCAGAGCAAAACATTAAAAAAACTCGAGAGTACTAGTTTCAACCTCTGTGAGAATAGTAGCAGACTTTTCATTTTTTTACCAAGTTTTTTAAAGAAAGTGTGATCACCACCACCTTCAAGAGTCTCGTGGAAATATTGTGGAACGTTGTAGGACTTGCCAATACAAAAACCAGTCTCTGAACCTGAAAGAGGAGCACACGTAGGAATAGGAAAGTCACTGGCAAGTGCAGTGGGATAGGAACGTATCATCGATGCCATCTCCACTGACAAGATGCTGTTTGTCGGGCAAGAGAGAAAACAATCACGTCGTCTGGAAGGAGACTACTGCGAAGGAGAACTGTCGTCGACTACAGAAGACGATTGTGCGAAGGAAGAGCCGTTGTCTATGGGAATTAGACGTCGTCGACTAGAGACGTCGTTGACTACGGAAGACGACAACGAGCGATAACAAGGGTGAGTGTCGTTGACTGCGGGTGAGACGTCGTCGACTACGAGCGAGCGCCGTCGAGAAAGCTGTGAGAGTGTGAAAACGTCGTTGCGGAAGACGATGGAGAGAAAGTGAGAAAACGAGGAATCACCGTCGGGAACCCCATGGCGAACCTTAGAGTTTCGATCGTCATTGCTGCCCCGATCTATCTCCACTCTCATGCGTCCGTGCTTTGGTGGCATCAATTGCGGCAGAGAAGACGCGACCTGTTGCGTCGTCTCGCAGCGCCGCTTGCCAGAGTTCGCGGGCCTCCACTGACGCTAGCTCGCTCGCTCGCTTGCGCTCGTCGTTCCTTTGTGCCCAGCAACGCAAGGCTTTCCTCCTTCGCGCTGGTTCGAGCCCTGTGCGCCCTACGACGAAACCGCAATGTGCGCTGCTTCACGCCCTGCGACAAAACCTCGGCGTGCGCTGCTTGTGCTGATCGACGACATCTGAAATGTCATCAGCGTGTTCCTACGCCGCCGCCCTCACCAGTGATAACTCCGTCTCCGCCCCTCTTTCCAATATGTTTCCACAACGATACCATGACAATTTTTGCACTTGGCATTGGAACTAGATTTCTCAAAAAAGATTCCTGTAAAAACGACAAACCTGCAATCTTTCTTACTGAGGCAGAGATCTCCACCTTAGCTGCGTCCTGGCGATTGTTCTTAGTAGGTAAGTTTCCTTATGGAAACCCTAAACTTGAACTAATTCGAAAGGACTTTGAGCAAATGAAGCTGAAAGGGGGTTGGAAGATTGGTAAATTGGATGGTCGCCACATTCTTATTCAAATGATGAAGACTACACTCATTTGTTTGCGAGAAGACTTTTTCGAATAGAAAATCAGGTGATGAAGGTTTTAAAATGGACGGTGGATTTTGACCTTGGTACTGAACCTCCTACAATTCCTGTTTGGCTGCGTTTTCCAGGTTTGAAGATCCACCTTTTTGATCAAGAGTTTCTCTTCGCTTTAGGGATGATATACGGTAAACCCCTTAAAACTGACACGCCTACAATGAATCTCACTCGACCTTCAGAAGCCAGAATTTTGATAGAAAGGGATACTACTTTACCTTTTCCGGGAGAAATATGGATTGGCACACAACATCCGAGATTTTGGCAGCAAGCAGAACTTGAACAAATATCACTTTATTGTACTCTCTGCCATATGTTTGGACATTCTCCTTCTCAATGTTATCAGTGTTGCATCCAAATTTAAAACCTTCAAGTAAAAACGCTTCTGGATATGCCTCACCTCATACCTGTCCCTCCTTTGCTCCTGAGTGCATTCCACAAACTATTGAAACATCAGTTGACATGATGCCTCCTCCACCTCCCACTATCGGAGACAATACTCTCTCTTCTTCCGATGGCAGATAGGTTACTTGGGCCCGATAATCAGGATAGTATTGAAGCTCCACATCCCCAGGATGCTTCAGGTGTTGAAGAGACATGTTTACCATCTCTCCAGAATAAGAATGTTGTTACTGCTAGTCAGGAGTTGGGGGCTCATTCTCTCCTACATGCCCTGTTGACACACCGATCAGATGAGTCAGTCCTCGGATGAAGAATGACAAGTTTACACATCTAGAAAAAAAAAGAAGAATGGAGGCCCACCCCAGCTTGGGCACTTAATGGATGATACTCTAGTAACTTCGGGTAATGAAACGACACTCAACAATTTGTTAGCTGTCTCCGGTTCTAGAACCAGAGGCAAAGGCAATAGTAAGTTGGCTCGTGCCTAGCAGCTTATTTCCTGCAAGTTTTGTTTTTTGTGTTTTATCTAGTGTTTTATCTATGTTTCATCTTTTTGTGTTTTATCTATGTTTCATCCTTTTAGGATGCTAGTGTCTGATATATCGTATGGGTAGGGAACATTTTTTTTGGGTCTTCTTATACAACCTCTATGTATCTTTTTAATTTCAATAAAATTAGCCCTTGAGCGTTTTAATATATATATATATATATATAATGTTATGACAGTTTTATTGTGTTTATTTTGAATTGAAGCAAGCTAGTTTCGAATGATCCATCCCTTGAGCTGAAATAATTTGATTTTGAATTTAGTTTGATTAAAATAGAGTGATTGCTGAGCTAGTTTCAAATGTAAGAAGTTGTAGATGGTGGCTATTTCAAAAAATCGTTTGTCATGAATGTTGACCAATTTGATTGTAACTGGGTTTCATTGAAGGGAAATTGAATACGTTAGTAGTTAATAACTAGTTGATTTCACAAATGAAGAATTCCTAGAATTTGTTTTTTACCATTAAAGTTTCTCTTTTCAATTTAATTTATTTTGTACTTGATAGTTCTATTAAAAATTTTTCGTATTTTTACGGATCAATGATCCATCCCTAGCCCTAATTATTCTAAATCTTACTCGAGGATTTTCTTGCTTGTTTCAGTTCCTAGATTTTACTAGTAATGTGCATCTTTTTTATCTGGCAATGTTGGTCTTTTTCTTGGGTATATTTTTAGCAACTATATCCCTTGCTTGGATTCAGATTGATGGTGCATTGAAGGCCTCTGAATCCGCGCAAGCTTTGCTTTATTCTCAGCTTGAGAATGCAAGAGAACTTGTGTTGAAGAATGAGGAATTTAAGTCTCTTCAGCTTCAGGTAACCCTTGCTGCATCGAGATGCATTTAAAAACTAAATTATGTGCTTAAGAATGTTTGCTAAATTAAGATTTTGCAGGTGCTAAAAATGTATTTTAATCTTTTTAGGTGCGGGAAATTAATCTGCTCCGGGAAAGTAATATACAGCTGCGAGAGGAAAACAAGCACAACTTCGAAGAATGTCAGGTTTATTTTTCGTCATTTGTTACCCTGCATTTGAAGTTGCAATATGCTTGTCTGTTATAAGGGGAAAGGTGGAAAGATATGATTTAATTAAACTCTATTACCGTGCTTTGTTCTTAGAAATTCCGTGAAAAGGCTCAGGAAGCTAAAGCAGAAGTTGATAACTTAGAAAAACTTTTAAAGCTGAAGCAAATTGAAGTTGATGATTTTCAAAAAGGTGCCGAGTTGCTGAAGATTGAGATCAGCAATCTGAACAATAGAAATGTTGAGGTCCTGTTGCTCATACTATGAACCGCCCTATAAAAATAAATGGAAGGACTTCTGATCTTTGTGTTAACTCATGTGCAGGTACTTGAAGGTTACAAGAATATCGACATTAGTGAATATGAACATATGAAAGATGAGCATGAACAGATTAAGGTTACCGCACTTTGAATGTTTTTTATTTTGGCATTCTTATATGTTCAATATACATTTTTTTATTCTTGTATTTGTTGTGTTATATATTCATCAACCTTCTCAACTAATATTCAGAACAATTTTTCAGAAGAATTTTATCTATGTGATTCGTCCGTCTTTCTAATTTTATTTTTACTTTTTTCTCTTATGTGAACGTTCCGGGTTTGCTGGTTAATATTTTGATTTAAATTTTTTATGGAATTCATTTTTATCTGCTTTGAATATATTTTCATCTTTAGTTGTGTTGAATTTAATGCAATGCATGTTGATATCTGGTGATTTACTCTTGTTTTCCTTACATTGCTGAATGAAATCGCAGTGAATTAATATTTCTGTAGCCTCACGTTAATGGTGGGAAGTAAACATAATTAAAACTGTATTTGGAAACGCCCAAGCATTTACACTTTTTTCCAATATACTTATGGTTCCAGAAATCTGAAACAATTTTTGAGAATCCATTCCTGATTTATCAGTCGACGGAGATTGGCTTGGGAAAAGTTGATCATGTTTAGATGACATAAAATTTGCTAGCATTAGTAAATGTTTTGGCTAGATTAATAGGTCTTTCTGAATTATTTATGTTATATTGTCTTTGTATGATTTCTCTCTATAGGGGGTGTTAGAGCATGATGACACGAGAATATGAAATCAGCGGGAAAACCCAGAGCAGGGCTAATATTATTAATACCCAAGCAAACAAACAAGATACATTGGTGATCTACACTTTAAGAGGTAGATCGGCTCTCCACAAACCCTAGACACCACTAGGAGCAAACGAACAAAAGAGAAATCAACAGGAAAAAAAAAAAAAAATGAAGCAAAACTTAGCCCCTTAGCCCCTTAGCCCTAATCAATATCCCCAACATCTCCTCAAATTTTTTTCCCAAAACTCCCTTAATTCCCCATCTCTTGTATGTGATCAAGGGCTACGCGTGCCCCGCTCAAATGTTGGAATCATCCATGGCGGCTTCTAGGGTTTCTGCCTCCTAGGCCGGGCCAACTGGGTCTGGCTGGTCCAGACTGGTGGTCTCTTGTGTATTGGTGTTCGTGTTGTAGCCGACAGAGCCAGCGTATCTTTTTGCCTCCTCAACACGTGTTCTTGTTTGTTTCTCTTCATGTAACTTTAGAGTTGTCATCGAACTTGAATATGTCATTTATGTCTCGGCCAACATTGGATTCACAACATTGGAGCTTTTTTTGTTTCTGGTTGCTGCCTATTTATGCTTTCATGCTCGTATCATCTCATCACGGAAATAACCATTTTCCTATCCTCTACATCTTAAAAAATAATAGCCCCATTCAATTTTAACCACAACCTGCATGCACAGATCAACAAACCTTCACTGATACATTTCCCTTCACCCTCCATGAACTTGAGCGGCCGATGTACCATCACATCCCTATTCTTCAGATGCTTGTCGCCAGTTCTTACGTCTACTTATGACTCATCACCTCTACTTGGATCTCATCTAGATTTGCTTGTGCCATTTTTATCTTTGTTTAGTCGGACCACTGTATTGAATTGCTGCTTCGTCTTGATCTTTCACCTCCATAATTGCCTTTGCCAGATCTGTCACTCCTTCAATCACCTAATCTAGTCTGTGCCACTAGATTGGGCCATCTCATCCAGATTCACATGCCATTGTCTGGTTTACTCGACCACCACTTTCTTGACCTTGAGGTCAGTAATATTAGCGTAAATAAATGTAAAGCGTAGATAAATTGGTCATTGTGAATCATTTAGTTCATATGTAGTTTTTTGAGGTTAATAGATATTTTATGATTTTTGGTTGTAATGATCTCCTACAAATCCTCTCTATTAAGAGTATCAAGTCATGATGAAATGAAATGTAGTAGGCTTACATAAGATGTGTTCCAGTCAAAATGGATATTAGTTGGAATAAAATGGCTCTAGTTAGGTGGTAGTTCACGCAAACCGTAACCTAATGCAGCGCTTTCTATTAATATAAATATTTTCAGCAAATTTCCTCTATGATTTGATAGATTTAGTTAAGATGCCAGCTAGTGGGGTAATTAATGAATATGTTATGAAATGGCTGCAAGGCCCTCTATAGGTATCAATATTTTAACAAATTTCGTCTGTGATTTGACTTATTTAGTTATGATGCCTAGCTGGAGTAGTGAATACATATGTTGTGAATTCCTAGAATATGGAATAAATAAAATATTTTATTTATTTCTATCTGTGTAATACTAAATGTTATGGATGGTCGTACTGGACATCTATAGGAGGATGTACTTTGGTGTATGCTTTTTGCTGAAGATATCCTTCTCGTGGATAAAACGAGAGAAAAAGCCCAAGAAAAACTTAAAATATGGAGGTCTACATTGGAGTCTAAAGGCCTTTATTTAGGTAGAACTAAAACTGAGTACATGGAATGTAATTTTAGTAGTAGTAGCTCTAGTGACAGAAGTGTGACTTTGGGTGATCAAATTATTAAAAGGTGTGAACGATTTACATATCTTGGGTCCGTTGTTCAAAGCGATGGTGATATAGATGGGGATGTTAATAGTAGAATTCAAGTTGGTTGCTTGGAGTGGAGGAATGCTTCAGGACTTTTGTGTGATAGAAAAGTACCGCTTAGACTGAAAGGAAAATTTTATAAGACGGTGGTGAGACCTGCAATGCTCTATGATGCTGAATGTTGGCTGTTAAAAAGAAGCATAATAATAAGTTAAATGTTGCCGAGATGAGAATGATTAGGTGGATGAGTGACTTTACACTTAGAGACAAAATGCGAAATGAATATATGGTTGGTGTAGCTCCTGTGACAGACAAAATTAGAGAAAGTCGTCTTAGATGGTTTGGTCATATTAAACGTCGACCATTAGATGATCCGATTAGGAGAGTAGATGTTTTAGATTCGACTTGTGTTAAGAAAGACAGAGGTAGACCTAGGAAGACTTGGGCTTATTGTATAAAAAATGATCTTAATTTACTAGAACTAAATGAAAATATGACACTAAATGAGACGTAATGGAGAAAAAAGGATTCATGTAGCTGACTCCACGTAGTGGGATTAAGGCTTTGTTGTTGTTGTTATTGTTGTTGTTGCGCAATACTAAATGTTATCCAATATATAAATTCCACATTGTCAAACCAATTGTGGCATGTGCCTGTGGTTAGCATGAGCTTGACGATCACACATCAGTTATACGTCTGGAAAAATGATAAATCAAGGTAATGCATGTTTGTGCTATAAGTTCTAGAAATATGAGTTTAAAAAATAATGGAATAAAAAAAACAAATCTTAAAAGTGGTATAAAATGTTACTCTGTAATTGGGTTTCTCTACTTGACATAGAACATCATCTACTGTGTGGATTTTCATGGTTATGAGGTCCAGCTGTTCACACGACAGTCATGATACATTTATTTTGCTCATTTTCTCATGCGTCGAGCAGCTTCTGCCAACTTTTGCCAGTGTTCGTTATTGCTTATGCTAATCATTGCCGTATTTGATGATTCAAGGCTTCAATTCTGCCACTAATTCTTCATTTGTTTATTTTTGTATCATTTTTTCATGTTCTTACCTGTTTTGTTACCAATTTTTTCAGAATTTTAGTGCATGGTGGGTATGAGTTTTTCTTTACTGTTCAATTATAGCAGGTGTTTTGAAGTTTCTGTGAGATGATGACTTTTGAGCCTATCAACCTCAGGCAAATTAGATAATTGTAATAGTGCATCTAAGACATGTATCTAGTAGCTTTTTTTCTTTATGCAAAATTTTTAATTTTCCTTAAATGTAGTTTTGGCATGTGACTTGGATTGTTATTATTTTGTTATTTTGGCTCGGTGGTCTATTCTCAGGTTCTCGTTTCTAACCAACATTTAATCAACGTGATTGATTTTAGTCAAATTTGCTATAGCTATTTTTATGATTTTTTTAGATTAGTATCAATCTCGCTATGTTTAATGGTTTTAATTTTTCTGTCAATATATATATATATATATATATATATATATATATATATATATATATATTGCTGTGAGATATA